CCGATTTGGTTTATTTAAGAGGGCCAAGCCCCCCCCCCGATCTCAATCTATGCGTACATAAATAATATTATTAACTTAGCAAAAATAAAAATATATATTTAAAATTAAATTTTATACGTTTAAACTTTATTAGGAAGTTTGTTGGTTTTTCAGTGTCTAAATTACTTGCAATAAATTTAAAATTTCTATTTGGGAAAGGAGTCCGGCGGGATTGGGTAAATATTATTTGAATCTATTTTTAAACGATCATACCTTTGCCTATGCTATACCTACAATATTTTTTAGGACTGGTAGGAGGATATGAAGGCAAATTTCGCCTTACCATCTGCCAAGTCGTTAAACGTACAAAATAATAAGCTTTCTCGTACAGGTAGAATGTGTTTATTTGGATTATATTATGAACTGCGTCATGACATACATGCGTAGTTATGATTATATAACTCTAAAAGTTCTTTTTTTCTTAGTCACTTTACCAAGGTGGATTGCTTCATAAGCACTGAGACTTTCCGGGTCAATAGAAAAAAATTTGTGGTGAGTGTCTATATTAAATTAATAATTTTGTTACATATATATCTTTGGATGAACCTCTGTGCCACTGCTATGTTTTCTCAATTTATTACTGTGTTAGGTTCCATATTATGTAATACTGTAATTTTTTAAATACCTTATTAATAATTAGCTACTAATATTTCAATTCAAAAATAATATTAATAATCTTATTGTACGCATATTTTTAAATATTTTATTTGAACAAAAAATCAAAGCTATAAAAAATATATGGAATGACTAATTTGTTTTGAACCTATGAACAGTTCTGAACTACGAACAATAATAATTAAATATGTATAAGTAAATGTTACGGAAATACAGTATGTTGCCATATATAGCTGGTATATAATATTATATTTATCTTTCACCTAATACGTTCGAGTAACAGTCATCTGGTAAATGCTAATTTCAATAGTAAAATTAATATAGTTTATCAATGTATAAATTGTTCATATTTTCATTATAAATATTATATTATATTAAATCATGGTAGATGGATGACAGATGAAATATTTTGGTAGGCGGTATCTACTCTGTTGGGGAAACAGTTGATAATATTTTATTATTAGTATAATAGTACATTGCAGTCACAAATACGCTAAATGAATAAACAATAAACAGGGAATTGCTCAACAACTTTCATTGTTCGTAAATCTATAACCGCACATTAATACTAATGATTATAAGGCAGTAAGGCACTTATATATGACGTATAGGTACCATATATGTATTTGTTTATTTTATTTTATTTCCTTACCTTACAGAGAAATACTATTCTATATTAGATCTCACTGAGAAATACTCTCGAGGAAACCCGTGGACTATTATAATTTATAATATAGTCGCCGTTTGTAATCCAAATATTATTATTACCACCTTTATTATTATAGGTATTTAATATTATTTATAAGTTGAACAATGATAAGCATCCAGTTATATAGTATTTTGGAAACATCATACCTAATATTTTATTTCAATGTAGTTTTGTACATGTACCAAGTAAGACAGGTAGACAGGTACTATGTAACTACGGAATAGTTGGGCCACTTGGTTATAGTAATTAAAAAATTAGATGATTTTTCAATTATTTCATTATATCAATAGTTATATATTTTAAAAATAATAAGTTGTAAAACACTGGATGCTCGGACTTTTATTTTATATTTTATTCGATGTTTTTATACATCGTGGTTAAATATTATAGTTGACATTTGTCTATACTCTGTAATTTACATTGGTAATTATATAATGTCACACTCAAATACGATTTGTCAAATTATATTTTGTATTTTACTCAATATGCTTTAAACTACCTAATCGTGTAAGTTGCCACCTATCGAGTAGACCTTATCGTATAGGAAAGCATTAAAGCAGTGCTAATAACGCTATTCCCACCACGTTAGAGATTCTAAACAGATAAAAAACATATCGTATAGAGTATAGACATTTAGTTATGCTGTTATAATATAATATATTATATGGTTTAAAGTTTTACACTTATTTAGTTTTTTTTTTTCTTAAGATATAATATATGAAACGTAATATACATAATACATAATACAAATAAATCATTATAAATACAGAAAATATTGTAAAATTTGTTTTTTAAAACATTTATTTCGTACTATATTGACTTCTATTATGGAGATTTAACCATAATTCCTAATTCTATTACAATATAAAATCTGCTGCAGTAGCCTCACACTATAGCCATTTAAGACGTAGGGCGGCCATATGGTTTAAAATTTTAAAATATGGGATGAATTATTATTTTTATATTTATAATTTTTTTTTTAATAAAATAACATAATATCATCCTATATTGAATTAGTATTTATATAATTATATTAATACCGAGTGACCCAATTAACGCAAGACATCACTCATTATTTAAAAAAGTATTAATGTTTTTGAAAATATAATTTTTACATGGCTTAAAGTAGTATTTTTTAAAATAATGTTTTAAATATTTCTATCTTTACAATTCATTATTGTTTAAAATGTTTACCTATTTGAATAACAACATATTGTTTTAATTTCCGTCTTCCAAAGTAGAATATTTTTTTGAGTATTTCGATACTTTGATTTCGCAAAAAAAGGACGAGTAGTTGAGTTATAAGGAGGTATTTAAAGCTTAGATGAGCGGAGTTAATTGCAAGGTTACCCTGAAAAAATTTAGTCCACTAGGTACCTACTCCGCACATAAAAACTTTAAATATTTATAACTCATAAAATAAACTATGAGTACTAAATTAGAATTTTATAATGTATCGAAATTCTGCTTTGGAATATGAAATTAAAACTGTATGTTTTCATTCAAAAAAGTAAAAAATTAAAATAATATATTTTTTTTTAAAGAATGTTGTTTATAACGACTAAAAACAATATAAATATTTTTTTTTTCATAAACGTTAGTTCTAAGAAATAATGAATGTCTTACGTTAAATAAATGGATCACCTGTATATATAGGTACTTAACCGCTGGCAGAGATTGATGTATCTTTGGCGTCTAATACTGTGGATGCAATTTTCTTCACATATTTTTTATAAGTATGACAAACTTTTAAAATAAAGAACTTCCGGTTCCCATATAAAACGGGACGTCTGTCAAACCTACATATATATACTCACCAGGTATACATTTCTTATTTTATTTTATTTTATATTTCTAAAGTTATTTTTTATATCATTGATTTGCGTTTATTCTTGTCCTTATACATTTTATACAGGTACAAATATTTTCTGAAAATTGTACCTAGCCCTATATATATCTGGCTAAATGTAAATATCGTAGTCTGCACTCGGTACCTATATTATACCCTGCAGCACAAGTGTACAAATCAACTAACAGTGACGCAGCGGTGTTGAGTGCTGCAAAATTGAAAACTTGAACTACGTACGTATTTAAAAAGTGTAGGTAAAAGTTTACTGAACCAAAAAAAGACAATGCATGGGGCTTTTTCAACTTGATAAGTTTCAACTGTAGTCCGTCGTCCGACAGTTGGTCGGGACTTCGTTAGTTGACAATTGTCGTATGGATTGTATTCTTGTATCTCGAGGCACCGAGGCAACGTGCATGGGCGCAAATAGCGTTTGGGATTTTTTTTTTTTGGGGGGGGGGGGTTAAAGTCTTACTTTGATAATATTAAATAAGCTTAAAATAAAATGTAGAAAATGTTTGGGGGGAGGGCTTAGCCACTAAAGCCCCCCTTATTTGAGCCTATATCAACGTGCATAGTTGGATGTTTATCAGAGAAAATAGCGAGTGCAAAGTCATAACGTCTCACGCCAATAACGACTGACGAGTAATGGGTCGATAAATTAATCAATTATAGTGTGGTAACCGCGTAGGTAATTGTATTTGGCGCTTCTGTCCGGGATCGATACAATTTACGCATAGGCATTTAATAAAGTTTAATCAGGGACCTATTATACTGGGGGCTATAATACGTTTATGTAGGTATATTATTGTAGCTATACTGAATTACTAGATTATTAATATGTTATTATATTATACTATTCTCCGATGTGACACGCGTACGTCACAATAATCGGCACCTCGTCGTATTTATAGTATTCCGGTGCTCACGTCCATCTGTTAATCTATTTTCAGACGTCTCCGAGGCGGTCGCAGTCGATGGGATTCGATTGTTCGATACCGTGGGCCCATAATATTCACGACACCCGAAAATCGGCGATCAGTGTTTCCGGCACAGGCACATTGATCGGACATGACCATCAATGACACAGCAATAAAGGCTATATAATTATATTTTATGTACCACGCAGTGATCAATAATTGGTTTACCATATACCCAGTATCATAACTACATAAGAGGAGCCAAATCGAGCTCATCCCATAGCCGTGTCAAGTGCCGACTCAACTACGCGTAATAGTCTACACTTATTATTGTAATGGATTCGTGGCTGTCGGTGGACGTGACAACGGCCAATGTCCTGTCCAGAGACAATCGAGGATCCGTCCGCGGAGTCAAGACGGTAAAATATTATAAATAATATCTATATAGGTGTAAGCCGGCGGAGTTTTCTCTCCGTTCGCTGGCGGTTTTATACAAAAAAAAAACTAACAATAATCGTCGCACACGCGCACCGTTTTACACGGGTCCCCCGATCATTGGCGTGGGTACCAGGTTTTGCGTGTATTTATAGTGTGTAGCACGAATAAAACAAGATTTTTCCTCTTAAAAATCAGTGGCGGCTGGGTCTTTAAAAATAACTTAGTCCACCGCTCCATTACGTAAGTACGACGGTACATACGCGACCGGCTGCTCGTCTATCCGACCCGTTTGCCATATTTCTAGTTTTTCGTAAAAGTGCGTTGTATTTGATCATTTACCAGGCATACAATATAATAAATTATATTTTAGTAATATTATTTTTTTGTTTCCAATTCGCCAGCGTATATATTTCCTTCGACCCGACCGCAGACAATGGATATATCGTCAGACGTCAGTATATTAAATATTTTTTATCAATAATAATAATAATAATAACAATGATATAATCGAGTCGTATCACATATACATATTATATAGGTCTGGGGGCAGTTAGCATTAGAGGCTTCTCAGGTGTATATCGATGACGGTACAGGAGGACCCGCCAAGAGCCCGTACGCAGGAACGGTAAGACGACGATGAGATGTCTGCATCGCGCCGAACATAATAAATAATTGTAATATATTATTAACTGTAATTGTGACCTGCAAACCTTTAATGTTGTAAAAAGGGGAGAACATATTATTAACACAGTATACGTTTACTCACATGTTGAAACTATTTTAGCTTAACACACCTATAGCATAGCCAAAAATTAAATTTAAAAGACTGTAATATATGGTACAAAAAATCAGTAAAACATAAAATAGCATAATATGTAAGTCATGGGAACAACATTTAGACTAGACTTATTATTATAGTCAAATTAAAAAAAATTATGTGTAGCTGCAGTTTCTAAATTTATGGGGTACTCATTCCTAAAGGTGTGTACATTACACATTATCATAGGTGGCGTTTGTGGAGGGGGTCGAGAGGGCCCATTGCCTCCCCCCCCCCAGAAAAAATATTAAGAGGGCAAATTCATCATTTTAAATGGGTCAGTAAATTTTTATCAATTGCCACCTATAACATTATTATATTACTTTGTATGTTGACAATTTGACATTTTATGTACCTATATAATGTATATATTATGTCTGTACAATATTAGTTTTCCAATATCTATTATGTATTGTTTCTGTACCTTATGGATAATTTTTTCGTAACCAGAGGTAAAGGGGTATTTGATTACTATTGCCAGAGATTTGTATCATTAAGGAAAAACGTTTGGTTTAAAACTATTATCATTTATATAATATTTTAATTAGTAGTTTACTGTATGATCTGAAATGGTTGTAAACAAAATATGTTCCTCTGAATTCACTCACGTCGATGGTGAATGTCAAACTAACTGCAATGTGTCGTTTTAATAATATTAAACTAATTTAGAAAGAGCTGAATATTGTTGTCGAGTGTGTATATTAATTCATGTAGATCAGTAGTTCTATCTTCTATGTGCTGTTTAATTATTGTCTAATTGATATAATTTAGAATGTATCGTATTGAATATTAAACTCCGCACTATTTTATAGTATTATGTACATACACAGCTTCTGGCAAGGTCTACGAGTTGGCTTCGTATTTTTTGACGATGACGGTTTTAAGAAAATAAACATTTAAAAGCTTTTGTTAGTGTACAGTAGATAGATGCAGCCCAGCAGGTGCCCTAGATTTTCATATCGAGTTTTTATTAATCTACGAATTTGATGAAATTCAACAAACACTATACACTTTTTGTAAGAATAGTGAATAATTTATCAACAACAACATAATGATTTGGTAAAACTAAGATAACAAATCAGGAAACTAGCTCGGCTTTGCAATAGATGTAGAGTGAACCTTGCCATTGAATAGGTCACTGACCACTGTAATTGATGTGTTCAATTTGAGTTCAATGATAAATTAAACGATTGTAACACGATTCTGGTCTGTCAGTATATATTACTATGTATATTTTATTGTGTATAAATATGATATATTATTATAAAGTGCTATTAGTAATTTATTTTAAATTTTTATATTAGAACTTACTATTTAATTCATTTTTGCCGAACACATAACATTTATTAAATTTTTAATATATTATATAATATATATACAAATTACTGTTAAAAACTTTTGAGTTAATACAGGAATAAGTTCGTGGTATAAATAAATTTTTATTTTAATTACAAAAAAATAACTAAAATTACTAGTATCTACCTAACTATTTAAAAATACCAAATTTCGTAAACATTTTATGTCTATAAAATACAATTGTATATTTATATTTTTCTTTAGATTTGTTTGTCTTTTTATGAACGAAACTTGTATTACATTTTCGAGCCTAAGTAATTAAAGTTGAAATTGGATATATTTTTAATAATACAAAATGATTTTAAAACTGAAAAATGTTTTCAAAAATTGAACTTCTAGAAAAATGAATATAATATGTATATTAAAATTTAATAAATATATTGTATTGGAATAACTTATGTGGTTACTTGTATTAAATCCTCAAGCTTTTTACCGAGCATAAAATGTTTTATCAACATTTTTAAAAAAATTAAAAAACATCAAAAATACAATTTTAAATGCTTAAATGCTTACATGGGCCATAAAGAGCCAATATATTTTGGAAATTATATCACGTGTTTTTAATGCAAGTATGTATATTTGGTGTAAAGTAATAAGTCCGTTCACGAAAAAAAAAATAAATAAAAAAAATAATATAGATACATCATTTTTAAACAAATTCATTCATCATTCCGTTCAGTCAAAAATTATTGATGAAAAAATTTAACAAAGCTCTAAGAAAGGGTTTGTATCTATAAAACGATGTTGTTCAGAATCAAATATATTATTTTATACCTCGATGAATTAAAACTATTTTAGTTGACGATCTGTATAAAATAATATAAATTTGTATGTATGAATAACAAATTAATTTAAACATTAAATATTACTTAATTATTTTACTGAAAAGAAAACATAAATAAATACATAATATTTAATATTCAGTTGAATAATATATTTTGTATAAAAGGATGTGTTTATTATTTTAAATTTAATTTTTGAAGGTGAACAAGTTATTACTATTGAATATAAATGGATGAGCTCTAAAATATATTCATTGAGTAAACACATTTTTCCCCTTTCTAAAATTATAAAAAAAAATTATGATAATAATAGATAATTATCATAGTGATTAATAACAACATGCAATCCATAGTATACCTATAATAAATGTGTTTATCATTAAATTGAACGTTTCACTCGTGTAAAAATGTAAAAAAAAAACCGAATAAAATTCAACTAGTTGAATCGACTCATCGTAAATATAAATTTGAGAACGTGATGTCCTGACAAAAATACATTAATCATTATTATTTACAATTCAGTTGGTTGAAAGTTTAACAATTATATATAGTATTGTAGTCGTGCTTACGTGAATGTATTTGAAAATAATATAATGTGTATCGTTGCCGAGTGTCTAACAAAATTACCTACTTATTTTTTTTCTTATACAGACGATCGAAAAATTGCCGGATAAAGTTTTGCTGAACATATTTTCGTACCTGAGCCACAAAGAAATATGTAGTATGTCAAGAGTGTGTAAAAAGTGGCGCACGATTGCTTATAACACGTCCCTGTGGTACAGCGTATCTCTGAGACCGGAAATATCAGGACTCCACGTCACGTCTCTGGACTTTTTGTTATCTTTGATCAGGTGACTATATAGTGCTCCGGCCTTAGAACAAAAACATATACTATACATCTATTATATTCAAGGTCTAACAGAAAGAAGTGACAAAATATGTATTAAAATAACTACAGCCTACCAAAATTGAGTATGGTCGAATTGCACTTATTTTAGTCGAACTGCCCTTGTTCTCAAAAAAGACATTCCAACAAAAATATCATGCATTTGAAGGTTAGAAGGTGCATTTGATAAAACACTCATTTCCCGTCCCACTTACAGGCTTAGGACTGACAATGATTTTAATGATTGGCGTAGTTAAAAATTATTGTTTTATACATACCATTGTCCATTATGTTAGTATAATATTATATAATATACCTATACTAAATCATCAAATATTATTATTGTCATTATTATTATAACTTTTTTCAACTAATTTTGATATTTTTTCTAGTAATAATATAGATACATATATAATATTTTTATTCTTTTTTTTAAATCGTTAAATATTATTATAATAATAAACGTGAACGTTCATTATAGTGATCTTAAATTTTAACTCCTTTTTTTGAACAAGTGCAGTTCGACCACTACCTGCTTTTTACCCGAGTGCAATTTCACCATTTCTTTTTTGGTAATAAGTGCAATTCGACTATCCCACCAACATAATATGATTAAAAATATTTGTTCTAATAGCTAATATTTTAAAACTAAATTTTTTAAAATTTTAATCAGAACAATTGGTATTTAGTGAACGTTAGTGACATTTATCTGCGGTTCTTTCTGTTATAACCTGTATATTGTGTATACTGTATAGTGTACCTAACTATATACTATATACATGTACCTACAACTATAACTGTGCCCGCTTTTTTCACCTAACTTTGTCAATGTGTGTGTGTAATAATAATATTATTCAGTGTGAGATTCGGCTCTTCGTTGCGCTACATCGAGCTGCCCATCGAGCTTATAACGCACACAGTCTTGCACGAACTGGCCAATAGATGTCCAAATCTCACTCACATGCTACTCGACTTCTCGACCGCCATGCAACTACACGATTTCAGCGAGCTCCAAGCGTTCCCCACCAAGTTGAAATACCTGTGCGTGTGCCTGTCGGAAGTGATCTTCATGGAAGGGTTCATGAGAAAAATCTACAACTTCATCAACGGACTGGAAATACTTCACCTGATAGGCAAGTCGGGTGCCCCCATACGTACCGCAATATTATTATACATATATATTAATAATAAATATAATTAATTATAAAATCGCGGCCCGCAGGAACTTACGAAAAAGTCGAAGAGGAAGAAGAAGAGATTTACGAAGTGATAAACGTGCACAAACTCAAATCAGCAACGCCAAACTTGAGGGTCATAAACTTGTACGGGATAAACTTCATCGACGACAGTCACATTGACGCGTTCAGCTCCAATTGCATACAACTCGAGTGTCTGGCCGTGAACTATTGCTCCAAGGTCACGGGGTCTACAATGAAAACTTTGTTTCAGAGAAGCAAAAGGCTCAGGTGTCTCTTGATGAATCAAACGAGTAATTAAAATATTGTACTTTTACGGCACACGACAACGCACAGTTTTAAATCGTTCGACGAATGCAAATTTACTTTAGATCTCATCAGCGAGTATTTGATGCAAGTGGAATGGGAAAAATCTTCGATTCAAGAATTAGACATATCCGGGACCGATCTCTCTACCGAATGCCTGATCGATATGTTAGTTCGGATACCGAATTTGAAGTTTCTGAGCGCAGGCCAGATGAACGGATTCAACGACACTGTGTTAAGTTCGTTCATGGAACAGGGTAACGTCAGGAACCTGATCGCGCTAAACTTGGACTATTCGGACAATTTGTCGGACGAGGGACTTTATAAATTTTTGTCCCGTTATGGACATCAGCTACAGGGGCTTTCTTTGGCCGGCATGCCACACATTACTGATCAACTGTGGAACACGGTCCTACCGGTTCTCAACAATGTCATGTAAATATAATTCATTTACGTAAAGTATATACCTATATATAATATACATATAAGGTTAATTTAAAAAAAAAAATAAAATACAATACATTTGGTTAATTATCATGCAAATATCTTATAAATTATCGAGCTAACGGCTCAATAATATTTCAAAAATACAGACAATTACAAAAAAATTAATTAATTGAAGTTGGTAATGTTGATTTATTTCAGAATTATGGTTATGGGCACTCAAGAGAGACTGTCTGGTAACGTGTTAGTAGATCAACTGATGGACGGTATAGCTACAAATTGTCCGAGATTAGAAAGACTAGAATTGAAATGGGATCCGGATAATTTAAGATTTTCGGATAAAAGCCAAAAAGCAATTGATATTTTTCGAGTGAAATGTTTGAAACTCAAATGCTTGGTTTTAAGGTATAACGCGCAATAAAAATATAATATTATGCAATCAAAACAAATTATTTTTTATTTTCCAACACGAATGTACTTTTTTTTTTTACTCATGTTTGTTTTCTTTTTCAGCGATGGAAGGTATTACGAAATAGTGAAAGCAAACTTCGAAAGAGCAGATAGACTAACGGTGGTTAGAACCACTACATGTTGTAGTGTCTCAAATTATTACCTACTACAAAATTACAAAGATTTAATATTTAATTGATTCCAGCTGATCGTTTATAATTATTTATAAAATTAATTAAGTTATCAAAATGTAAATAATTGTGTTTCCGACGGTATATAATATTATTATAGTGTCAACCATATTATATAGTCTAAGCACCTTAAACAATAATAAAAAATACATATTTCATAACGTATCGGTCTTCGTAATTACGCAAGAGAAAGTGAATTACTTTACACATTACTTTCACTTCCCCATGAACAAGTTTAGGAGAAAGTATAGTTTAAAAGAAGAAAACGAATGGGTACATACTGATCAAATTCAATTCAGTCGAGTCGCACTTCACAACTGGACTACAACGTTGTCTCCTTGCTTGATAGAAAAACAAATTTAACATTTATTTCATATTATATAGTATACACATTTTCAAAGATGTATATAAAGTACGAAAATCTTGAGGACAAAATCGCTAAGAGGCTGGACGATTTATTCGGCGTTAAAGACTGTCTGATCGAAGTCAACCCAGGAAAATGTATACTTCCGCCCAAGTACAAGGATTTGGGCCAGAGAATTAAAAACATGGAGGTCAGACCTGATGACGTATGGCTTGTATCGTATCCAAGAACAGGTAATAATTTAAGTAATTTACTTCCGGATGTTTAATGAGATGTGAACAACGACACTGCATTTTACAACAATAGTTCGGAGTTGTTTGTGGGCATTACTAATACTTTGACACTGATTACAATTTTTTTGTCTCTGTTAAATTTACTATAGGAAGTACTTGGGCTCAAGAACTGGTTGGTTGTATTTGCAATGACTTGGACTTCGTAAAAGCCAAGAGCATGATTGGACAACTAAGGACACCGTTATTAGAGTGAGATACACCTTCAACAAATTCTATATTTATTAGTTGTTATACTATGCTTATAATTTACTACGAAACAAACTTTTCACTGACATCTATTAAAAATATATATATATCCTATTATAAATATGGAAATAACATCAATAGAACTATTATTGACCGTATTATAATAAAATTTAACATGCTATAACTATTTACCATATAAAAACGATTTAATTTTAACACTGTCTACTGATTAATTATAATGTATATACTTAGTTAAACATTGCCGTTGATTTATCATTATAAAATGTGTTGCTGATAAAAAATGTAAAAACATATAAACGTATTTTTTATCAATTTAAATTTACTGCTTTATATTAAAAAAAACAATATTTTAATTATTTTTGTGGAGATAAATAATTAAATATTGTATTTATTTATTTACCTACTTAATCGGTTTAATCAAAAATAATGGACAAATGCAACCGACCTAGTAATAAAATATGACTCCTTATTTTAACGAGGAAAATAATATTTTGCACTAATGACACTAAATCGAATATCGCGGCGTGTTAGTCACAAATCACACAGGTTGTCGGAACCGGGTCAATCCGACTTAACGACAGTAATTATCGTATTCCGTAATCGTCATGATGTATGTCAGTTTTTGATACGTTTGTCGAATTACAGTATGAAATAATTTATATTATACCTATACACCTACCTACATCGATTCGATATATTGTTTAGGTTAACAGCTCTTATGGGCAACGACACGAGCAAATTGAAAGACGAACTTGGCAACTCGGTGGAACAGGTGGAGAACATGGCGTCGCCCAGGTTCATAAAAACACATTTGCCAGTCCCGTTGTTGCCCGAACAGTTGAACAACGTGAACCGAAATCGTCTACGTGACACGCAACCCAAAGGACATGTGCGTGTCTTATTACCACTATTGCAAACTAATACACGGCTTACACGGGTCGTTCGAAGAGTTTTGCGATCTCTTCATACAGGGCAAGACACCGATCGGTCCCATTTGGGATCACATACTGGGCTTTTGGGAGCAAAAAGACGAGCCCAACGTGCTGTTCATCAAGTACGAGGACATGAAAAAGGTGAGAGCTAGAGGGTGGTGCAGGTGGACGGTGGTTGTCTATATGATGGCGAAATAACTGTGCCTACTTTAGGTAGTCGTCATCATAAGCTGGGCTAACTAATGGCTAACTAATGGCTTTGCATATACCTACTAATATGTGGTCCGGAATGTAAATAAAAGAAATCTGATTTGATAAAAAAAAGCGTGTCTCGACTATCGAGACGCGTAGATTTAAAGTTTAAAAATATTCAATGCTTATTTTTTGGGTGGTTTTATTTTCAATGAATATATTGGTTTAATTGCATAATATTTTATAACTTTTTAATGTTTTTAATAATTTAAAGGAAAAATACATTTTTTTTTTACTAAATGAAAAATCTTCCATTGGTTTTATTGTCATGATATAATATAAATCATCAATATTTTTCAATATTTTTATAAAAAGATTATAAATGTATGAATTTACTTTAAAAAATTAATTTCTTTAATAACAAATTTTTTCATATTTTTCTTATATAATAATATTTAAATAGAGAATATTTAAACATTTTAGACACTGGCTTAGCTCACTACAGTCTGCATGTGTTATTAATGGTGCATGTTTAGTTGCATATCCCCAAATATAAGTATTAAAAATATCTAATAATAATTACAATATTATAGGACCTGAAAGGAGCCATCAGACAGGTATCAGATTTTCTCGACAAACACTTGACCGATGAACAGGTTTCCGCTCTCGAAGATCATTTGAGCTTCAACAGCATGAAGAAGAACCCTGCTTTGAATTTAGAACCGATTCTTGCTATGATGGAAAAACAACCATCGAAAGAGGCGAATCCCGACGAAACATTTATTAGGAAGGGAAAAGTTGGGGACTGGAAAAACTACATGTCGGAAGAGCTATCGGCAAAATTCGACAAATTCACAGAGGAAAATTTGAAAGGGACTGACCTAGTTTTTGAGACAAATTGATATAATTGACACTATTTATATATATGAAAAATATTTTTGTATCACTTTTAGTTTATAAATTATAAGCATCCAGACAATAAGAACTACGTATAATAAACATGTATAAAACGTTATATGTACAAATTATATTATTAAATAACATTTTAAAGTTATGAAAATTCTAAATTATTCTTTGCTATTTTTGAAAGATTTTACTAATCATCATCTATCCTTTCAAAATGTAAAATCCTATAGAATAGTTTTCCTGAATTTAAATCTATCCACTTAAAGAATATCAAGTAAAATAAAATGAAAATATAAGTCATTATAGTCTTACCAGCGTGGGAACTAACTCTTTTAACCGGAATATAAAGATGATTAATTTATCCAGCTGTCAAAAAAGGTCAATTTAACATTACAAACTTTATAACTAGAATAACTAGTACAACATTAATATTATAGTGTTATTTTCAATTTAATTTTAGTTTTAATTATTAGGTATTTATAACATTTAACTGTTTTGAATGCATAAATATTGCATTATACATAAATATAATGATATGAGTTATAATGTGTATATTGTTTACAATATTTTAAATTAAAGTTCAAGTATAACTCCGAACGCTGGTAGGAATTTAAGTATTCAACCTTTAATTTGAAATACAAATGAACTACGATTGCACTTTAATAATATAATATATTATAGCCAGCATAAAAATCGATATTATGATATTATGCTGGCTATAGTAAATAAATACCGTGCTGGCTAAAAAGGAGACTTTATTGTTTTGTACCTATACGTAAATGTTTAATCGAATAGAATTTATTTATTTATTTTATCGTAATATTTTCAACAGTGAATTGTTTTAAATGTGTCCACCAATTTATTATTTTTATTTTTTTGAATTTTAGATTTAATATCGAGTGTTTAAACTTAAAAGTAAAGTTATAAATTAATTTAATTGTTTTTCCTCTACTTAAAGTCTTAAAACAATCAACATTGAACGCTGCAGGCCATACGGAAGTTGTCGAAGTAATTCGCAAGAAGTTTCAGCAACGTCGTTAATACCAAAAAAAAAGAAAAGGTCGTACTTAAGTCTCTCTCTCCTATCTCGCTGGTTATGATTAGGAAATGCATGAGTGAGAATTTAAATTTTTAAATTTTTTACGCATTATTAGTAGTTCTCAATGGTAATTAAATTAATAATAATGCATTAATGATTTAAAATATTTCATAATAATACATATAAATGAAAATAGTTGGTGACGAGGATAGTATTTTAAAGTTGTAGGACTGTAGGAGTTGTATATTATTCTATATTATGCTCTCGATTTATAGAACACTAAGCTAAAAAAAATCCAAGCTATACAATTTTCAGTTTAAAAATTGAATATTGAAAATGCAAATCTCGCAAATTTCGTAAATTTTAGGGGAAAATTGCATATTATTTCTTGATCTGCAAATGCATTTTAATATGTTTAAAAAAAAATTAAGTGATCTTTTTCTTTTTAAGCTGTGTTTGTTAATAATAATATTGTAAATCTATATTCCGATAAACTATCTTTTCGAATTTTTTTTTTATAACTATTTTTTTTAGTTCAATAAATGGCAATATACCATACAGTTTTTCTCCTTTTTTTTAAATATTATAAATTTATTTTTTCAAATTTTACATACATTTTAGTACAATTTAATAACAACAGAAAATGGCTTTTTTGGAGTTTAAAATGTTATCAACATATTTTATCAAACTTTTTTGAATATTTGACAATTTTTTTGTGCATATTTTTCCTTTTTTATCTCTTATAATTTCCGAGCACTATAGTTATAAGTTATAATAAACATATTTTTACAGGCAGCTCTTTTACAAGAGTTTAAGTGCTAATGGAGTGTCAATTTAATTTATTTAAAATAATTTGAATGGTTTATATATTAACTATAGCCACTATTCTAATGTTGGTTTATAGTTACTGTTACATTTTTCACCAATATCCATATGGGAGTATTAAAAAAATTGAAGTTCCTAATAATATGAACCCGTGTTAACTTATAAATTGATGAGTGTTGGCAGAAAAAATTAACAGTACATATTAAAATAAATTATTTTGAATAACAATTCACCAGTGCCCGTGTTTAATAATAATTTAAATAATTAAAGTCTTATAATATTTCCTGTTTATTTAAAATTAAACCACAAAGTCACCATACTGTAAAAAAAAAAAACTCAAGCTGCATCATTAAATTTCATAATGTTCAATCATGGACAGACTTTTGCAAATTTTACCATAATTACATGATTATTTTTCTAATTATTGTCAACCGTGTGACGGTCCTTCGTCAAAACACATACCTATTGAATAATTTTTATATAATTATAGATACATTAAAAATAAAAACGTATCAACCATTGATCATTAACAGTAAATTACTTCATGGTTAAAGTGTGGATAAAATTGACGCTTTATTTGTACGTGTGGATTAGGCCTGAACGGGGGATACCACAATAAAAAAAACGCGCCATGTGTAATACCTCATGCATTTAAACGGACTTCATTATTCCAATGTTGTCGTTTTTCGCAAAGGTGGTGTGGAGATTTATACACAACTACCTGTTGAATAAAAAAAATTACAGCAATAATACTGTATTCTACGAACTTCCCTTAAAATTACAGTCACCCTCAGTGCCAAATGAATGTGCACATATAGTTATAAAGTTATATTGAACTAACTACCACAACATTCAACATTTAATTTTATATTCTGATAAGCGGAGCTATCAGACACTATAAAACCTTTGAAATCGGTACCTAAATGCGCTCGTACAGGCAGGGTGGCTATGTCGTTGTTACGACGTTTATACCCATGTTGGGACAATATTTTTCACTCGTAATACAATATAATATTATAATATGTGATTGGCTTTTTCCAGACCTAAACGCCATACCTCAAGTGGTTTAAGTGGTAGGTGGAGGTGAAAACTTTTGGTTTCGATTATTCCGAATCAAATGATTATAATATTTTTTACATTTTCGAGGCATAATGGAGGACGCCACATGTCCATTTTTCTATAGTCAAAATACCGCAGGAACCTAGAACAGACACCATTCAGTATATTATGTACATTTATTATAGTAGAAAATTCAAATTTGCAGCATTCATAAATTCAAATTTTATATTTTTATTCGTGATTTGGAGTTTTATTTTTTCAATAGTTTACCTACCTACAATAATATTATACTATAAACTATTAATCTGTCAACAATGAATGATTTTATAGTTTTTTTATTTTACAGTACAAAATTATTGAGTTAAGCCATCGAAAAAATAAAACTGTTAGGTACATACTAGATAAAATTCTTATTTATCAACTCTGAAAATTTGAATACTCTACTATAGTAATTTATTTATGAAGTGTGTCTGTTCGCGCATATCCTTTTACCTGTCCAAATAACGATAACCACTTTGGAACAACCGTGTCGCCGTGATGATAACCTAAAGAACTAAGAAGGGTTTACTCTATTAATATACCACAACTACCTTGGTGTGGATATCCGTCCCCCGACGTTTTTAGTTCATATGAACTAAGTAAAGTTAGTCAAAACCAAGTAATTCCTGTTTACTGGCATGCATTTCCATATTTCATTCAGGCTTCAGCAACAAGTACAGTTGGATTCTAGTATTTATATCATTCTGTTTTATGTTATTTATTACTATGTCTTCTCGTGCATTAACCATAATATAATATGGTGAATTATGATAGGACGGTAGGTATACCCATAATCTATATTCTATAGGTACCTATATACATAGGCCCAATTGGGTGGGGGGCATGGGGGGGGGCTAAGCCTCCTAACTTTGCCGTAGCCCCCCCCCCCCCCAAAAAAAGAAATCCTAGGACACAATTTTAATATGCTATATTGCTTGGCTTTAATATATTCAGCCCCCCAAGTCAAAAGTTGAAATTGCGCCTATGCCTATATATTTAAAATTTATCCGAAATAATGTATAATTTATTATTTGTTCAGTGTTTACTGTTTACACGGACTCTCAAAACTGATATTTTGTTTTTATTATGGTTACGGTTATATAATCCTTCACACCCCCTTTTTCAAGTGTGTAGGTACTTTAGGCAATGTAATTATCCTGATCATGTAGCAGTTTTTATTTAGAGAACAACCGTTTTTACGAGCATATTTCAGACACTCTAAGTGTCGATTAGCCAAAGCCTTGGCACATTATATGTTTTCTTCATATGGAAAAACTATCTATGGGGTAAAAGTTTGTGTGCCAACGCTGGGGCATTTAGACTGCTTGAAGCATGCTTTGATAAATATCTGGCTTTTTCATAAACTAAGATCAGAGGTGCCACTATTTCAGAACAATTAGATTATCTGCAATATATGTACATAAAAACAGATGCTTCTTGCAATACAATTATCAGCTGGCCTAACCGATAAATGAATAAAGATGTTAAAGCTGATATTATAATACATAAATATTAAATATATTAATTTCTGGTCAGGTGGCACTGCTGGGAGCCTTCCTATTAATGTTATTTTATGTCTAATGTTCTTATGTCACCACTCGTACTCATTATACCTTGCAGTGTGTTGTATAGATTGTAAATATTCTTTAAAAAAAAAAATAAAAAAAAAATAAAAAAATATTAAATATATTATTTAATAAGTGTTAAGAATTAAGATTAATTGATGATATTGTAATCAGCTTTGATTTTTACTACCTATTTAAAATCATAAAAATAATTAATTCATCCGGTAGTGACTCTCAAAAAAGGTCAATTTAACAGTACAAACTACAAATATATAACTCATAGCTAGGAAACCAAATCGGTTTAAGTTTTTAAGTTTTCGATTCCAATTAACGATTGATTCTATAAACTATAGTGAACACATTATGTGAAACTCACTGTATATTTTATTATTTTCCTATGAAATAATTCACGGAACTTATACAAAATTGAACGATCAACCAATAAATAAAAATGAAAATAAATAAATATCGTTAGTTTTGTTATTACGTTCGCATTAAGAACCTAACACCATAGGCACTAGTTTACTACTTAATTAATTTCATTAAAACTTCAATCCACTTTTGCCCAGACATTTCTCTTCCCATTCGTCAAAAATGTTTACAAACTCCGGTGACATTTTTTGTTTTCCTCCTCCCACTGTACCACTTCTCATAAAACTTCCATCGGCTTCAATTAAATTGTGAGTTTTATTAATCTCAATAACTGGCTCGTAATTGACAGCTCTGTTGTTCTTCATGCTTTCGAAACTTAAATGATCTTCCAAAACCAACACCTGATCGTCGAGCAAATCTTTGCCCAAAAACTGAGCTGTTCGACGAATTACCGCACGTAGGTCCTATTCAAACAAGTGAAAAATGTCTTTAAAATAATGTTTATATAATATAATGTTCTTGACTAATGTTAAGTTTAACCATGACTTTTGGGTTATGACAAGCTTTCGGGATTCACAGTAACTAATGATTAACAATGTCCAACTAAGCGTTTCTTGTGATCAATAATATGCAGATATGCTTATGATTTACGTAAAAATAAATAAATAAAAAATATTTGATTACAGTTGTTCAATATCAAATCTGACCAATCAAAAAATATTCATTTAACTCGAAACTCGCAGGCTGCGGCAGGGTTTGTCATGTGATATTGTACCGCAGTATCGCAGATACTCATAAATTCATTAATTGTAGAATTGTAGTCTTGTGGGTACCTATAATTTACTAATCGTGATTTTGGTTACTTAAATTATATTATTGACAAAAATTTGATGTATTGTAATTAGTAGGCACTATGTTTTAGAAGGGAAAGACAGTTTGGACCAATCGATAAATGCAACCGATTACGACATAATACGATTAGACCAAAATATGGCAAATTACAAACACCTAAAGAATAGAGACGGCTGCACACTTTATATTTGTCACCCATTTGCCTATAAAATTTAAAATTACAGGAAATAGGTACACTTAATACAATCTTTTATTTCAAATAGACCCCAACAAGTATATTAGATGAGAAATGTAGTCAAGAATATAATATTAATTATTTATTAGTACCACAGGTACCGCTTTAGGAGTTCCTATTTGTTAAATTTAAAATCTAATATTTAAATCTATCTAATCTATTTAAAAATGTATTAATAACTATCTATGAATGTGAGCTATTAGTGTATATGTTTAGACTTTATATGATAATTAGCCTTAACATAATTTATTAAAATTCAATAGACTCAAACAAAATTATAATATTATATTCTCTTATTGTTATTGTTCAACTATACCCCAAAGTCCAATAATTGTTAAAGGTTTAAAATTTTTTGTAAATAGAATATTGATGAAACAAACTACTTTTTATCTTTTTGATTATATTACATTTATTAATAATTATAATATTATTTCTTCTTAACTTTTAAGTTGTATCTTCTTTCTCCTCGTGTTAAATAATATTGCAGTATACTATTATATTGTATGCATTCTTGTTTATTTAAATTATAACTTATTGAAATAACTCAAATCATTTACGTACAAGGTGTTTGCTTACTTGGCTGAGTTGCAATTTTTATTTATTTCAGTATTACTATATTATTATGTATATTATTTTGATGTTGCAATAAATTTAACTTATCATTATTATTAACTTACCATGTCGTAAATTAATAAGTAAATAATATATGATAAAATGGTGATTATAAATATTTAAAATGTAACCATTGCTTGTAAAATATCTTTAAATTGTATGGATATATTGTTATTTGGTCATTAGACAAAACACATGGTTAAATTAAACATTAACTGGCTAGTCATTAGCCAAGGGCTCGACATTATCCGTAACACATATGATATGAGCAAATCAAAATAATAAGTTTGATCGATTACCTGTTTCATGTCTTCGTACTTCAAGAAAAGTACTTGCGAATCGTCTCTTCGGTTCCAGTAGCCAAGAATGTGATCAAAAAATGGGCTGAAACAGACTTAATTGCACAAGTTGTTAGTGTTCGTCGTTTTACATTTTTTTACAACGAATTTACTCACGGGAATCGGAGGTAAACAATTTACAAAAATCTTCAAAATTTCCTGTATATCCCTCCAATAAACAACAATGGTGAAAATATGAAAGGCAAGTGTCTTTTGGATTTCTGGCCACGTAAACGATCTGAAATATCATACGTATATATTAATATTATTATTTGACTATTATTATTAATGATGATTAAATGGTTAAATTATATGTACTGTAGAATGTGTTTCATATAAGCTACATTAGAGGATGGTACTTACTCTGCCAGATTTGTATACATATTGTTTTGTATTAGGTACAATAGGTACATGTTTGATAAAATAATTACAAAACTCTATGATTATAAAGTGAAATACTCGTGTAGTCCTCGACATATGAGATTTTGTAATAATTTTTGATATTTTAACATAGTGTTTAAATAAGTGGTACTCCCCCAAAAAAAATGTAAACTGAATATTGGGCAACTGCCATCATTCGAGTTGAAGCTTTGAAAGAAATCATTGGTTATTATGTTGACTAAAAAATATTGTGTAACGTATACCTAATATTCCATGATAAATATATAGAAAAAACACAGTACCAAACCTTCAAAACGGATAAACCATAGATAAGAACATCATCTACAGCAGTAATTTTTTAACTATTATTTTGCATAATCAACTTGTATTTAAATAACAACCTATATCACATCAGGTCGATTTCTCCTGTAAAATCTAAATTATGTATTTTTATCAACACAACCACAATGTCATTTTTGTTACCTACCATAGGAGTGACTAGACTTCATCGGCAAGGGCAGCCTAGCTAATAACCGGCGCTACCTTATTATAGTGAACTGAAAAACGCCCTATACACCCAAAGCAATGAAACAATGAAATATTTATATAATTAAAAAAAAGTCTAAATTATCTATTAACAATAATAATCTACAGTAACTTCAGAAATATTATTCATCTTCAGCCTTGGATTTCACCACCTAGCTACAAATCAAAAATAATACGACAATAATATCAATAATACCTAGATGCGTACCGTACCGTCGTCGTCTATCTCAAGTCTTTATAGTAGGTTTTCCCGATTTCGGAAGTCAGGAAATCAATCTTTGTAAGTAAATGGTAATTATAACTATATACCCACGAAAAAATGAAGTTAAAAAAAAAATAAATGTTGTAAATCTTCTGATTTAAAACCAGGTTGACCGTCACCTTTCAAAAATTACAGGAGCAGCCCAGGCACCATAGGCTGCCACCGTAGACATACCTATGTTACCTACCTATATATTTTAACAATATGAAACACATTGGAAATTATATAACCTATACTAATTAGTTTAACTATTATATTGATTATATGGGTTATATTGATTAATATATGGATTATATTTTACTACCTATAGGCTATAGCTGGTAATATACCTATATAAATTATTCAAATCCTACATATAAGGTTATTGATCAAGTGCACGTAAGTTTCCAAAAAAAAGTTTAGAAAAATATGTTATACTAGCTGATCCCGTGCACTTCGTCGCCCTTTAAATGTATCAACTCAATATGAGTTATGACTCAAACTTTGTTCAATTCGTTATTCAATATTCGGTGTATGGTGTTCAAAATTTATCTTATCTTTTCCGTTGCCCGGAATAAAAATTCTGAATCGCAGCAGTACATTATCAGGTAGGCAATCTACCTGCGGTAGATCGCGGACCCCGTGCTGTTTGGACGGAAGTGTATGATTTAACTCTAAATTATCAAAGTTATACCAAGTTTATTTTGATATAATACGGTGGATTAATATAACAAATTTGGTTGCTCGTAAAAATCACAACTCTTAAAAAATTATGATTGTTGAACTCCTTTTGGGTGTAACTTGCTGGGGTAAGTGCAACTCAGCCACCCTGGTAAGCAATGTTCAATAATTTGATTTGATGCAAGATTGTACCTGATCTGCCCGAATAACCAATGGCAACCAATAAATAAATGCTAATTTCTAATGTAGACTGTAACCATGGCAACTATTAATAAATTAAAATAAAATTTCCAATTTCCATCTTGAATCTCAATGTCCCTGTTTGAGCACCTATTTAAAATGCGAATTTCGAAAAATCCTTTCTTAGCGCACGTCTACATCATAATAGCTATCTGTATGCCAAATTTCAGCCAGATCCGTCCAATGGTTTGAGCTGTGCGTTGATAGCAGTCAATCAGCTTACTGTTTTATATATACAGATTTAAATTAAATATTGCTTGATAGATGGCGCCACTATCATATTCTTTCAACCCCACTTTTACCCCCTTGTAGGTCGAATTTTCAAAAATCCTTTCTTAGTGCGCCCTTACATTGCTTAAGGAACCTCTGTACAAAATTTCAAGTCTCTAGACCCAGCAGTTCCGGCTAGGCGATGATGAATCACCCAGGACAAGTCTTTTTATATATACAGATAACATTATTTAAATAATATGTAACATTTTAATATTAAAGTTACAGGGATTTTGGACCAGTGGCGTATATACAAATTATTTTCACTATGGGCCAATTTATCACTATATAGTCAACATAGCGCGTCAAACGGACTAACATAGCCATAACTATACATTTTTTAAGGAGCAGGGTTGTTATAAATACTAATAAAAATTGCGCAATTTAAATTTTATGATTATTATGTAAAATTCATTTCTAATTCTTTTTTAAAAAATATAGATAATTTCGTATATACATATATATTTTAATGTTATCTTATTGTGAATTTAACACATAAAAGTCATCAAAGCAAGTCCTGACAATATAACATTTCCTTGTTGATTCCCCAGAACGATTTTAATCAACCGGCTAAATTAAACATGGTGAAAAACTGTAAACTGTGTATACAGGGTGATTTTTTTATCGAAGAACACTCATTATTTCAAAAAGTATTAATGTTTAAGAAAATATTTTTTTACATAGTTTCAAGTTGTTAAAAAACAATATTTTTATTAAAAAATTATATTTTTAAATATTTTTTATCCTTTTAATTTTTTAAGTTTTTTACTTTTTTGAATGACAACATCTAATTTTAATTTGATATTCAAAAACAGAATATTTTTCTGAGTATTTCGATACATAAAATTGAATTTAGGGCAATTAGTTTATGAGTTATAAGTATTTAAAGTTTAGATGAGCGGAGTAGAGTGGTACGGGGTTACCCCGCGAAATGTTTGTCCTCTACTCCGCTCATCTAAACTTTAAATACTTATAACTCATAAACTACTTGCCCTAAATTCAATTTTTATGTATTAAAATAATCAGAAAAATATTCTGTTTTTGAATATCAAATTAAAATTAGATGTTGTCATTCAAAAAAGTAAAAAACTTAAAAAATTAAAAGGATAAAAAATATTTAAAAATATAATTTTTTAATAAAAATATTGTTTTTTAACAACTTGAAACTATGTAAAAAAATATTTTCTTAAACATTAATACTTTTGAAATAATGAGTGTTCTTCGATAAAAAAATCACCCTGTATACCGTGTGTTCAATTTTTAAGGTAACAGGAAATATTTCGATCGTGTGACATTGAATTTGAATCGGGGTTTTTATACTGCATATAGGACTTATAAATACATATTTTTTTAATGAATTCAAATTTTTAATTTTTTTTATCAGCGCATGCGCAGTAAAATAAAAATTTCTTAAATAGCAACCACTATTTTGGAGACCGGATTTCGATTTCTTTATTTTTTCTGAACAACTTTGATCTTTACAGTTTGTTGATATCTTCAAAATTGCCATGTTTATATCGGTCGGAAGTATTAAAATAGTTAATTTGTAAATATTGCATTTTTCAACGGTCTATCTTAATTTATAGGTATTTATAGGTATTATTATAACAATTTATTTTTATTAAAACTACTAAATTATCTTCTACTATTATCTTAATTTGTTTTTAATAGTATTATAATGAAAGTTATACTATTAACCTGTGCGAATAAGATATTTTGATAGCATTCTAAAATTGATTGTGAATAGTCAAACGTTTTTCGTAAGTCACGCGTGACACATTATTTTCTGTACAAAGGCAAACTATTCTGAAAAAACCGATATGGTATTAATTTTTAGAGAATGTCATCAAAATTCGCGTAACGCAGCGGCACTTTATGCTGAACGATATCCCGAGAGATATCATCCACCACATAATTATTTACGAATTAACTATTTTAAAACTTCCGACCGTCATAAACATGGCAATTTTGAAGATATCAACAAACTGTAAAGATCAAAGTTGTTCAGAAAAAATAAAGAAATCGAAATCCGGTCTCCAAAATAGTGGTTGCTATTTAAGAAATTTTTGTTTTACTGCGCATGCGCTGATAAAAAAAAATAAAAATTTGAATTTATTAAAAAAATATGTATTTATAAGTCCTATATGCAGTCTAAAAACCCCGAATCAAATTCAAGGTCATACGATAGAAATATTTCCTGTTACCTTTAAAATTGAACACACGGTATATATATAAAATGGTTTAATTGTACCTGCAATTTCACTATGGGCTCTGGCCTAGCGGGCCTCCCCCCTATATACGCCACTGTTTTGGACACAATAACAGTTGTCAACAAATGTATACGATCCCTATATTGTATGCAAATAGGTACTCGGAAGTCGTTTCTTACTTTTGCTTTGGTGCTTTGATCTCTGAGTTTTTTCGGCAGAAGTTTGTAAGGTAAATGAGTCTTGATAAATCTCGGAGATTTCAATCCATTTATGAACTCGATCGAATCGGACACGTACAACGGTAGCTTGAGGTCTGGTTTTTCCGGGAGCACTTTTTCATAATCAAATAGTGGCGTGTGGCTAAAATCGAATCAATAATGTCAATCGATAAATAAAAATGTACCTACGCTCTTCTGAATAGTGACAGATACGTAGTATATATTATAGTTACTCTAAAAACGGAAATCTTTCTGGCAGAAATTGTTTGGCACCTTCGAAGTCTAAATCGTTTGCAATACACCACGTCATCTCCTGGCACCACGTGGTTCCTAGAACACAATAGGTTTCTTTTTTTTATACGTTCGGCCGTAGTCACGAAAAACAACCGCCTCCAAGCAATATGATATGACAACAAAAGAAGAATACCACTTTCTTTTTTATTATTATTGTTGATTAACGGTATGACATGATATTCGCTTGTCAATCATCGCCTCGCTATATTATCTATGACCTCCTATTCAACAAGTCTATACTTATAATATATACATGTAAAATATATAATAATATAATGGTGTAGGTATAACAATGTTATTCATTATCTTTAGTAATTATGTTAAATTAAAAATACATAAATAACAATGTTTTTCAAACCTATACGCGTTATCGGGACGGCATAGTGTGTATACATTATTATTTTGATGATTTTTTTTCCAAGAAAACTCTTCCAATATTATAATAAATAAGGTCGTAAATGTAATTGCCGTGTTTTAAATGCTTGTTAGGTATTTTGTAATTTGTTTCTGTTACAATACCTATTAAAATGTGAAGATAAAATGCCGGTGTCAAGTATTCGTCTCGCTTCGATCATCCCGAACAAAATATTCGAAAAAAAAATGTTTGAACAGGTCGTTTATTATATGTATCGTATATAGTACTGTATACATGAGGTATTGAAGTTTGTTCATATTAAACGTTAATGGTTTTTTATTTATAAAAAAAAATTTAAAACGATTATTCATCGCGTGTGCGCATTCCAAATACAACGCATTTTAAATATAAGTAAATAATAAGTAATAATATTATTATAAATTTGAATTATGATTTAATTTATTTTTATATATAATTTCTAACCAATAAAACTTGGTAGATACCGTAAAATATTTCTTTTTTAACATTAATTTTAAGTTTCGTTTATAACGTTTACACTATATTTACCAATTACCATAGTATTTAAAGTTAGTATTTCCTATGCTGTTTCGATTGACCTTATTTCATATTTTAGAAATTTAACAAAAATAATTATAGTGATTTTTTTTTTTTTAATAAAGACCTAAAGCCTAAGGGACTTTCTTTCTGTTTGATAAAAATAAAAGAACAAATTATCAAATTGAACAATAGAATAAATAATAATAATATTTATGACTGTATATATCAATAACGTATCAACTGGCCTAACCTGAATCACACATGCTTAAGATAGATGCAGACAATAGAAAATATAAATCATTATACATGTTTACAAGTACCTAGCTAGTTCGAGTCATGCTCATATATTATTATTATGAACTAATCAAAATCAAGTTCATTCATTTAGTTTTCAACTCGTTTTTATTGTCTTCTGTAGATTATTAAAGTTTGGTGAAAATAATAATTATTGTTCACAGACAACAGTAGGAACTAGGTATTAACAATTGATAAATAAACGTAGACAATACAAAAAATACTTGCATTTACAATTATTATTATGCAGTGCTATATATTCTTATGTCGATATACCTATTTAGGGTACCTAAGGAATGTAATGTCAATTAAATTGTTCGTGACAAGTCTCGTTTGATATTTTTCAACTATAATACGTTTTTTATTCGATATTTAAATAAACTGAAACCTGTTTTTGGATAGCTGCAGACCCAAATGTCATCGTCCCTGATGTCCATGTCCTGGATACGCTGTCCAAACTTCTTGAAGTACACGGGTAGCACGACATCGTTAGCTTTAATGTATCCATTTCGAAAGCTGGTAACGAAACACTTATTCAGAATGTCGGATACTTCGTTGTCCACACTCGAATACGTTATGTCAGCCATGTTTACACGTAAAGCCGGTATATGGTTATGCTCGCGGAGACTTGTTCGATAGAAACTCTATAACATGCGATGATAGCTGTTTTTATACATCTCTATAGAGGCGTGCTGTGTTCTGGAGAGGGTACCTATTCCCATTATATTATTATGTGTTAACAAACATTTCTACTTTGTCATTGAATGCGTTTTATAAATTCATAGCTTGTGGTGGTGCTTATTTATTATATTAAATCCTTATGATTATTGTAGAGATTAATAATTTATTTAAATTGTTTAAAGTCATCGTTTTCAATAACTGCGAGCAAATGCAATTTAAATGTATACCTCCTAGTGGCTAGAAGGTATACCTATACTGGAAAAAAACTCAACTAGCTGTTATAGAGAGTTCAAAATATCGTAGTCAACCATCTCTGCAGGTGATGATTATACAGATTGATTTAGTTGCGGCCTAGATAAAAAAAAAATACTCAAAAATCAAACCGCATTGACGGTATTGAACATAATATATAAGGTTCTTTTGTGGTGATTCATGGTCACCTCTTAAATGATTAATGATTACTGATCGATTTCAGCGAGAATATCTCAGGAATATAAAATTGAATACAATCGTTTTGTACATGTTATATCGCATAGGATGGGACCAACTGTAAATTCACAATTCATTGTGTTTGTGGGATGAGATGACAATCAAGGCTTGTGGTGCACTGTATATAGTACTCTATAATAGTACTGTATTATTGACCCTATTATTTCCAAGTTTCTGAGCCTTCAAAGTTTGTACGAACCGAGGTTGAAAATATTTTATGCCTAGTCTATTTTTTACCAGTTTATACCAGTTACCACCACTACAGTCGATGCCCACAGATGAATCGATACGAGGCCCACAATAATCTTACCTTGACCGCTGAGCCAAAGATGACTTCAATTAACATAAAACATAACACGAATACAAATTTAACAACTCGGCGATAGACATAATTATATAATATATAGATAGACAAATATTTTTGTTTCAATTACTCTGCAGTATAATAGGTAGGTAGGTAGGTGTAACTCATATAAGTTGGTTTAACGAAATCATGTATATGATAATAACATAGATATAAATACGAATAGCAACTCACGGTTTAGAGCAGTTTAGGGCTTACTTATTTTTCTTAAAAAAAAAAAAAAAACATTTAAACCCATAATTTAATTTAACTGAAGTTGAACGATTAGTTTAAGTTCTTAAACATGCATTTTTATATAAAAAAAGTCTAAAATCAACAATCGTCGAAATGTCTGTAAGCATTAATTAAAAAATGTGTAATTAAATATCCCTTGATAAACGAACACTGAAAACTGCATCTTTGCATCTGCATAATATATTATCTACCTACGACATTATATAAAACTATAAAAGGTGCCTATACTTAGGTACACACTCTAACTGCGCATTATTATTTGTAAATATAGTATATACGTAACCGCTATATTATTATCAAGGTTCTCGTTTAATTTTATTAATTTACATGGTTATATCAATAATAATTACCTAGTTTTGCAATTGAGTATGGTTTAAAAATATAATATAATTTAAATAATAATAATATATTATTAGATAAACATATTAATATACTTATATCAACTGGTTTATACTTTATAGCGTGTGAAGGTATTAGAGTTTTATTATATAAGATTTAACAATTAATATATACCTATTGTGTAATGTGTCTATATAGTTTAAAAAAAACTACGATAAGGTTTTTATTCTTATTTTGTTCCGTTTTTCGAATTCCGGAGCAGTGTATTTGGTTAAGTGCACTATACAGACAGGTGTTCGTGTTTCATTCGATTTTCTTTTTAACTAATCCTAATTATATTACAATAAAAATCTCAAAACAATAAATTTAATACATGTCATATTTTATAGGTATATACTTATCAATGAGACGAATGCACATCACCCCGTGAATTATCCGTAATCTTGCTGTATCTGTCCCTTATAATTGCTTCTCTTAAATACTTGCTTTAAATAGATTTTTTGATTACGAATTGGATCTCTAACAAATCCGGCTTAAGCCTACGACTGATTTTAACAGCTAGTGCATATAGGTACTAAAGTAGATGATGACTGTGCGTTCAAATATTTAAAAAAAAACAACTTCTTCGCGATGCAGCTACCAACATTTAATATTATACAGTTCGAAAAACATGTTATATAAAAAGAAAACAGGTTTTTGTTATTGTTATTTAATACCTCATTTTATTTTTAAAAAATGCAATTCATTATTTAAATTTTTATGTTTGTCCAAAGTATACGAAATACAAAGTATATGCGGTTTTCATAATGATTTTGAAATATTTGATTGAAAATGAAATTATATAAATTTATAAAAATGATATAATTTTATTAATTATACATAAACAAATAAACTGTAGGTACACTGCACACGAGCTGCGATCAAAATGAGTACCTATCTATTAATAACATCATAGATTATTATACATTTATACTTATCTTTAAATTGTTATGCCGACAGGAAATAAACAGAATATCCTCGTACGTCAAAGTACGATTCAAAAATACCTAGATCCCACAATTTACCGAGTTTATAACTGTGACCTATTTTTTGGGGACACAATTTATCGACTACGATTCAGATCGGTTCCACACAGTTTGGCAATTCAGGTGTTTTTCGTGAGGCAAATCGAAGCTGGCTGAGAAATCTGCCCTACTGTCCTCACTTTATATACCAGTGGCGTTATTTCAGTTTTTATTAGACTAGAGCAACTTTTCACTGCTTTTCCGACTCCACATTTTTTTCACTCAGATTCTCATAGCATAGTGCCATAGTGGCCAAGGGGGGAGGGGGGTGTTGATGATAAATGTGCCAACTTAAGGTTGATGTAAATATACTAGACTGGGGAAAATACCCCAGTTGCCCCCCCCCCCCCTCCAACAATGACGTCACTACTTTACACACGCACCAAACATAAATTATTAAATTATATATAAATCATCCTGACTCGTGATACACCTTTGACCAGTTAACCATAAGATTTATATGAACTATAATTGCGTCGATGTTTGGCTGTAACAAAAAAAATGTGTGCAGGTAGTAAGTACATAAAAAAGTATGGTAGATATGACAATATGAATAAAGTTTAATATTATACGGTTGAATGTAAAATAGTTGAAAGTAAAAATCTTGAACGTTAATATATTGAACGATAAAATCTTAAACATAAATTTATGTCAATATCTTGAACATTCAAAATCTTGAACAAAAAAATTATTTCCGTCAAAACCTTGAACACAAAAATTGTATCTGTCAAAACCTTGAATGTAAAATATTGAACAGAAAAATAGTTTCCGTAAAAACTTTGAACGTCATAATCTTGAACACAAAAATTGATTCCGTCAAAACCTTGAACATTAAAAATTTACCACCCAAATTTTTTTTATATTAAATTTAGCATTTTTTTACAATTTAATAAGAACCATAGACCTTAATACTTATACTAAGGTATACTTTGACCTTAATACCTTATAATATATGCCAAGAACATAATAAGTGGTAAGCGTATAGTACCTATAGATAGTTAATGATAAAGATATCCTAATAGCTTGATGGTTGTGAGTGGGGGGGATAGATCACCCTCCAGAGCCTTCATAATATTATATTTCATATTATATACTCACCAATGTACTTGAAAATTTAATATTTTGTGTGTAAAAAAATGTATATCCCCGCCCCCCAGGACAAATTCCTAATTACGCCACTGAGGTAGAACATACCGATGTCCTCACAACGCTACATCAGAATCTTGGAAGGTCTTCAAAAGACAACAAATAGCATACCTATACGCCAGGCAACAGATACGCTGGGAGCTCCTAAATAATGCAATAAGGCATATTATGCAACAATTATATACAACAGAAAACTTAATCAATAAAGATGTTGGATAGTAAAAATATTGTACAATAATAATATCTTGAAACATAAATAATTTGACAGATAAAAATCTTAATACCTTTATAATATTATTATAACAAAGTTAATAAGTAGGTAGGTTAGATATACAGGTTAGGCTAGGTATAGGTGCATAAAACATACTAGATATGTAATAATGAAATTCAATCGGTCGTGAAAAGTATTTATAATAACAATATTATTAACTAATTATATTATAGGGGTACATTACTTAATACTAAAAATGATTGGTCCTATGAGATCGGGTCGAGAATAACAAAAGCAGAGAGAGCGTTTTTCGCCTTGCTGAAGTTTTTTAAATCTAAATTATTTTCAAAACGAACAAAAATAAGACTATATACATCAATCATAAGACAGATACTAACATAATATGGTTGTGAAATATGGACTACTACAAGTATTACAGAACGACGACTAAAGACTTTTGAAAACAAAATATGGCGAAAGATATGTGGCCCGGTTAAAGACCCAAGGACGGGTCAGTGGCGTAGGAAGTTCAACCAAGAACTGAAGGAGGAATTAAAAATAGTATCAATAAATGGTTTCATAAAGAGACAAAGGATACAATGGCTAGGACATGTCATGAGGCGGAATTCTGATGCAGTAACCAAAATGGTACTGAATTGGAAACCAGAAGGAAAAAGGCCACGGGGTCGTCCTCGGAAGAGATGGTTGGATGTTGTAGAAAAGGATTTGGAAGATCTTGGAGTGCAGGATTGGAGGGAGATTGTGCAGGATTGTGATAAGTGGAGTGATTTGGTGATGGCGGCGGAAACTCTTGGAGAGTTATAAAAGCCAGAAGAAGAAGAAGAAGAAGAAGATATTATATTAACCATTGATTAAATATTATATTTAATCAATGTATTAACTAATTTACAGTAATAATTGTAATTTGATCACTAGATAGCTCTACTATATGCAGTAGGTCTATTATTATACTTATTTTTAATAGATATTATTATTCATTTATGATTATTAAATATATTGTTAAAAATGTATTATTTTATACAAACTGAAGTGAATTAA